ACCATCTGGCCACCCGTCAGCAGCTTGTAGCCACTGAGCTCAAGGTGCCATGTTCAATCTCAGCTACAGGTGGGTGTAGCCCACCATCCCATGCAGGAGTTGAACTGGCAACCTTGTTGTTAGAAGCACGTGCTCTCACCAGCTGAGCCATCCTGCCAACTATTGGGAGCTCAGTGGCAGCTCAGCTCAGGCGCAGCTCACTGGACCATGTGGGAATTGAACCAGCGACCTACTGCCCAGAGCTCACACTCTTAACCAACTGAGCCACTCGGCAGGCCCTTAAACATGTTTTTGAAGCAGGAAAATTAATATAATTAAATCTCAGACTTTGAATACAGTTCTCCTTAATATTCTGTGTGATGAAATAGGCAGCACACTTATTAATTTATGATGATCGCCTAAAGGAAAAACACTTGTATGACTGAGTTGCCCACCAAACTGGCCACTATTTTTCACAGAACACTGTTTTTACTTGAGAAAATAACTGACAAACTATAGTTATTCAGATGTGGGTATTTGGAAGACGTTTTCCTGAAAATGAACAAAGTAAGCTTGTCACTTCAATGGAAATAATTGGCATTATCTGTTTTCAATAATAGATTTGGAATGTTCTATCAAAAATTAGAATTTGGAAAATTTGTGTCCTTACTTTGAGCTTAACAGTTTCCCAATACTTAAAATACTTTTCTAATGAGATCAGTGGTGATAGTAACTAATGTGGTTTTTTTTTTATATTGTAAGTTGGAATGTGTCAGCATTTGGAAGAGCTGCCTAATTCAGTGGACCAGTATTTTCCAAATGAACAATGTGTGATATTACAAAATCATGTGTGGGTAATAGTTCCATTCAAAATGCAAGATACACCAATGGATTTGATAACAGTATTATATATGTAAAGTTTGCTGATATGGTTTTACATTCCACAGGGCAACTAACCCTTAAGAAAATACCACTTGTTAAATTTGGATGTGGCATCAAAGAAGGATATCCACATTATCTGAAAAGGCTATTAAAATGCTCTTCCCTTTTCCAATTAAGTTTCTGTGTGAGTCCAGGTTTTCTTCAGGTACATCAACCAAAACAATGTTTTCCAACAGATCAAATGCAGAAGCAGATATAGTAATTCAGCTGTCTTCTCTCAAGCCAGACATTAAAGAAATTTTCAAAAATGTAAATCAATGCCACTCTTTAATTTTTGTCTGTGGGAAAAATATCCTTGTTTTTCATAAAAATATGTTTAACACATAATAGGTTTATGATTATAATTTTATTTATTTATATTTTTAAAGATTTTATTGGGGAATTGGGGGGAGGGGAACAGCGTTGGGGAATCGGAGAAGGGGAACAGATAGGTAGACAAATTGCTGTTTTGTTCTTCAGTC